TTTTTTTTTTTTTTTTGATATGGTCATAAACATGATACGTATTTGTTCTGGATTCTTTAAATTGTTGAGGAGTTGACTCAATAAACAGCAGATCCAGTCATCTTTCAGATATATTTCTTACTCTTCATTTTTTTGTACCTGATCTCCTATTCTCTCCTTCGGTATTTCAAAAAGCGTAGTGACTACGATGAACTCTATGCAGGAAAAGAAGATTTTTTTGTCTTCAGGACATCGTAAGTATCGACTTTTTGTAATGCGGCCAGTTGTTTTCTGTTACTTTCAAGTTATTCTTAGTGGAAGGAAGTACCGGCTTTAATATGGTACTCTGAAGTTTATTTTTAGTCTGTGGATGTGCACATGTTCGTTGGCTGTTTCACTTGCTGCCGCTACGTTGTTACCGTTTTCTGTGATTGGTTCTGAGATTATTTATGCATATCCAAACAATTACTACTTTAAGTGGCTAAACTGGCCGCTCATACATACTCTTTGGAACTATATATTTGGACTAAGTAATTTGTCGCTTTTCATCCTCTTGCCATTTGCCTATTTTTTTATTGAATCACAGGGTATTAGAGGTCATGGAAAGGTTCGTTATACTGTTCGTTTAGTCAAGATTTCTATTTATTTATTTCCTTTTTACTTAGAGTTTCTTCAAGGCTTGCGGAACAGTTCTTACCTCTTTTTTTCTTTTTTTTCGGGTTGAACTCTGGTTTATTCACTTTTAAGGGTATCATGGCTAGAGTTTATGAAACTCTCGCTGTATGTGTTATGCTAATCGTCTTATTAGCTTCACTAGCTGATGTATTTCACGCTTTTTTCTTTGTAAGTTAATTGTTTACATTGTAGTTTTGCAAAAAATAAATTTTTTATCTAAAAATTTCTATAGTCTTTTTATTTTTCTTATTTTTTTTCGTTGTTTTTCATTTAGTTTATAGATTTCTGCTTTTTCAGTCCCGAACTTTATCTATTTCGCTATCGATTATAAATTTCACTTCGGTGAATCTTCCTTTCATTTATTCTTGTGTATCCTTGTTTGGGGTACTTACGCTGCTGATCACAACTCCAGTTGGTAAGTGGTTGTTTGTCTTTTCGAAAACTTTGTGCACTTCCCTATTTGTTAGTTTTTTTAAAGAATTTCACTAAGTGCTTGTGGACCGGTCTCTTCTCTTTGTGCT